CAAGCTCAGAAGAGTGAACTACTACAACCAGGTGGGTGGTCGCTCAATATGACAGTAGTTTTCAGAAACTAAAAAAATAAAGAATTTGCAAAAGTACAAAAAAATTAGCGTAGCTAGGACTTGAACGATTGACCGGGAGACTGGCCACCAACGGGAACAAGTGCTACTACCGAGGATGGTCAGGCCGATCAACCTGCAATCATGCCGTTCTACCAAGTAGGCCTGGTATGTCCTAGACTACGTTGAAGCTACTTCTGGTATCCAGGCTTATATACCACTTCCGCACTGGTGGGCCTCAGCTCAAGTGCATAAGGTAAGGTACCTTACCGACCAGCTCAACATGCGTGACAGATAAGAGCCTCCATTATCTTACTGCGTATGTTTTACTGCTTTCTGCTCCAGATTATATCCCCAGTGAGCGTCAACACTCTGTAGAGGCCTCGTTTGACTGGCCTACTCCCGGCGACGTTGTCATTTAGTGGTACCGGCCTTATTTATCTCCATTCACCGAGTCACCAACCACTTTTGTCCCAGTACTAATTTCTTTTTACTTCATGTTTCATCTCTCTGTCGCTTCTACTTCGCTCATCACCTGTCATGTAGTCGACTATACTGCAACATCAGAGATTAATGCCACGAATAGCGTTTGCTTCCGTATGAATCACGCCACAGATTCATGACTCGTACAGAAAGCACTCGGGTTGGCCCTTCGTCACCCGCAACCATAAGAATGAGAGACAAAGCCTCCGTAACTTAAACAACAACGCCAGTATCATGGCCCACCGCCATCACTGACTGCCTCGAGACTCCGAAAACCCGACCTCATGTCCACATTTCACATTCTGTCCCAAAGGTTTAACATTCGCACTTCAGTTCCTCTGGAATGTCTGTATAAGGCGGAACCCAAGCAGCCTCACTTCCCGAACCAACGGTGCGGGTGAAGCCGCCGCAAGCCTGGAGGTCGGCCGTAGTCGGACAGTCAGCCGCGCCATTGGCGAGCTGGTCTGCATGGCAGCACAGGTTGTTGACGCTTGTAGCACCGGGGTTGCAGCTCGAGTCGAAGTTACATTCGTAAACTGTAGCGCGATGTGAGCTTTTCTTGCGTGGTAACGTAAAGTGGAAGGAGACGTGGCACCGGATGAGCTTACAGACTGGCACGTCACAACCGTCGCAGTTCCACTTTGTGATGGCACAGTTATTGGTGTTGTAGGTGTAGGCACAGTACTTATCGACGTTGCATTGTGCGGCAACAAGTTTGGTGCCTAGACACAGGGCGAGAAAGCTGAGATTGGAGCACTTCATAACTGTCGTTTAGAGTTTAAGCATAAGGGGTAATAATTGCTATGAAATAGGCCTGCGTTGAGATTGTATCAAGGAGTCACTCATCACCCTTTCATACATGCAAGAACATATCACATTCACGTTCCTATCTTGTCGCCGCTCTACTTCTACTGTCTCTCAATCCTCGACGTCATAGGCTTACTACCAGAGACTGAGTTCATGAGTTGAGGATCTTCAGCGTTGTAGATCTATACTCCTACCTTCCGAACGGAGAGGTAGTATACGAGGAGCATGAGGACGCCTGTTATGATTGGCAAAATGGAGTGGGTCATCCGTACCGTTTACGAGTAGAGCTCTGTGATTGTACGATGTAGGGCGAAGCCTGCCGATCATGTCAGACTTATGACCACAGCAAATGCCATAATTACTGAACAACGCTCACGCTCAAGTCTCGAGGTTCTTCAGCAATTGAACACATTATGATGACGTTGTCGTCCACACCAGACATGGACAAGATAACAATGCTGGTACGGCCAGTATGTCTAATTGTAGGTGACTGCCCTCAGTACCTACTGGAGAAAACACTCTATCCTTTAGACGGTGTACTTACTCCTGGGGGACCAAAAATAAGGACAGATATCATATGATCCTTTGCAAGTAACTTAACCGGGACTGCAGAAACTGATCAGTTAAAGAGGCAGATCGAATGTAACTTAAGCCTTTTCTCCGGAACGATGGGTTTCTCGATGACTCTCTCCCGACACCCTCGGCGGTAAACTAATACTACAGAGACAACCCGGAGCATAATGTCGTTCTGGAGGTGTGAGGTAGAGACAAGGAACATACTATTATCGAGGGTTTAAGGAGTAAGATTACAGTAGGTACTTCTACTCTCCCTCGCTCAACTAAGTACCCCAGGGTTGAGCATCTTCGTCCGACTTACAACAGTGGCTTTTCCTTGGTCCCTACGCAATTTAGACTCTTGATACACCATGTTCAGCTTTGCTATCATGCGTAACATTTCTCGCGCACACGAGAGTAGGTTCCCACTGGGCAGACCAATAGTCTAATACAGGGCAATTACCGCATCCCTTTCCCAATGATCCGAGAGACAGCATGTATATATCACAGATCATATGCCACCAACCGCAGATAATCTCGGGGACAGTATCAGGTCCTAGTCTTTATCCAGTCTTCGCTCTCCACAGAGGTTCGCGAGCGCCTGACCGACGCATTCGAGGTTTCGGCAAGCCTGCTCCCAGATAAACCCTGCCGTGGCTCATTTGGTACGCCACTAGACAGGGTTTGGGGTCATCCGTGAACTCTGTCTGGTCCATTTGCACGTGGATTCGTTCGAACGCAAACAGCCGCGCGCTGTCAAGTATTAGAGTGGCAAATGCAGATTGTGACTGTTGAGAGGGTGACTGTTGAGAGGGCGACTACACATGCAGCTTCGGTGCCTGCGCCGGTAGAAGAACCTTCATGCGTTGAATCACGTCGGAAGTGTGAGCCGGGAGTCCAAAAAGACGGATGAGCCGCAACTGTGAGACAAGTCTTGAGTTACACGATGCGAGAATCTGATCGCCAAGGGTAAATCGTACGTATCTCGCATGTGTGAGTACATACATATCATGAGATACTTATGAACCCCTTCGGACTGCCTCGCGGCTTTCAACCGAGTGAATTCATCCCAAAGGGATTATACAACCTGAAGAGAGTTCACGGCTGTGACTCGGTTCGGTGACGCTGCTGTTGATGAGTTTTAGGTTTGCGTAGTGCTTCGAAGTTGGGATGAATGTTATCGTGCGCAATGGATAGCGGGTATCTGTCCAACTGTGTTTATTCTACTGTACTTGAAAAGCCAGGGCGCTCGCGTATCGGCTGACTCATAACAACATATAACTTGCAGTCATGTCCATTCCCTAATGAGGCGACAAAATGGACGTGATTCCAAACCATTGTTGAGTTGCCTCTGCTGTACTAGGACGACCGATGTATTCAATTTCGAGACCATCTAGGTTGCTGCGGACACGGCTCTGTTATTCATCGTCTGATGAGTCCGCGTCTGTTACTGTTTGTTACACTTCCCAGTTTTAGCATTTAAACTCAATACAAGAGCATCTGCGCCTGGAACTCGAATCGATGTGCCAGTATGGAAGTCCGATACACTCATCTTTAAATTCTCACCGAAACCAGCGCGCCTCCTGGCCCTGCCACCCTCCCCGATCATTTGTGTCATATATGAAGTCCTTCGAATCCTTCCCACTCTCCAGCCTGTCTTCTTCAAGCAACTTTCGGATTGGAGACTCCCATCTTCAACTTCCCACGAACACCCACCACTGCACGACGTACTACTGTCCTCCATCCTACCTTCCGTCCAACATGTGTTCGCCATCCGAATGGCCACGTACCTCTTCCGCGGGTCGTTCTCCTAGGTCCCTCCCTCCCACGAGCGGCTATTCTACGAGGGCTGCCCCGAATATATCCCCATATTCGGTGCGTTTTCTCGAAGCGGAACTCTCCATGATGGGGCTCAGCGAGGGGGGAGACAAGAGGAGGGTTCCAAAACCTAGGGCCAGCTCAGTCGACTCAGCCGTCATGCTCGAGGAGCCAATGGAAGACACCACTATGTCCTCAGGCAGCTTCTCCCGTCAACTCGAAGAGGGGGGCACTGCATCGAGCAGTCCGAACATGCACTCCGACGAAGGAGGTTATATGATCGGGCATGTGATATTGAAGAAGCTCGAGTCGTCTGGGGAGGCACTTGCCAAATTCGCCCTGATCTGCTTGGTACTCGGCGCAAGAGTGTGGCCTACCCTCACGGAAGCAATGGCAGAGCGGATGGCTGCCTACGAACGGTTCCGCTGTGATCTACGAGAGGCCTACGACCACTACTACGTTGTCATGAGGGGTGGGCGTGACCCTGATCCTGGTGCCCAAGAGTTCCATGAGGGTGTGAAGGCCGTGATTCGGAAGGTGATGGACAGTGACCTTCAGCTGCGTGGAGATCTGGCCGAGTGGAAGTCTACTTTGGGGCGGCAAGATGACGATGGCCGCCGTGAAATGGAGTATATCATCTTCATTATCGACGAGTTATTAAAAGAATATGGTGGTCGGAACGAATGAAGTCTATTCATGGATGCGATCTGGATTGTCACAGCATAGATCATGTAAGTATCATTTGTTTATTTGATGGTTTTTATCTCACAACTTGGTACACAGATAGATGTAAGTATCATAGAACCAGTGTTTTAGCCTAGGTCATTGGAACATATGTTTGGATAGCTGACCTTCAGTCGAGCTATTCGATTGCTCTGTGATGTAAGCTTCAGCGTACATGACTCATGAGTCTGCGAGGAAAACGCATTGCAATGCGAATTGAGTTTCCTAGCATTCCAGAAAGGGATGGGTCAGCATTTGGTAAATGATGGTGACCGAGCCTTGTCTATACTCCACGTCACCATGTGTCAAAACACACCATAAGGTAGGATGCATTCCCAGTTTTGCTGTACAAGATTTCAGAATCTTTACCCAGCAAAGGCTTGCCTGTACTTGGTGAGGCATGCTCCTTAGATTGGAAAACCAACCCCGTTTCATTGTGGCAACTGGGCTCACGACCTGTTGGACTCTGAGCACCTCGAGCTCCACTGATGCTCCATCGAGACTTTCTTGAGCACACTTTGATCCGCACTTCAACATCACTTAATAAGCACTCCACAGCGCCAGTGGTTTAATGGTAAAATCCATCGTTGCCATCTGCGAGCTAACCACTCCAGTGATCTCGATGGGCTCCGCGTTCGATTCGCGGCTGGCGCACATTTTGCCATTTTGCAAGCAGGATCGCACGACCTGAGCAAAACAAAGATGATTCGCCGCTCACACGCGCATTTCAGTTTTGCTGCGTCTGCTCTAGCAAACGGAGCCAATGCTTAGATAGAGTGACTTCGTTCGACGGCTCGCATGAAGATGGCAGATTCAGATGCCGAAATAGAGCTCTTTGAGTGAGTTGTGATTGAGGGAGGATACATGAGTTTGGCCCAGAGTGGACTGAACTCAAGTCTGCCCATCTTGATTATCTCGGCCTCGTAGAAGACCCGACGTTCAGCATGGTAATTTGTTTTTTGATAGTTTGTATGTCACTGCTTGGTACCCAGTTTGGAACGCAATACCCAGCGCCCAATCCAACACACCTCAGTTCAAAATAGAGTTAAGGTTTACCTTGGACCCCTAATTCACACACACACACCTGAAACCCCCTCAACAGCATCACCGACAAGAGTCACACTACGAACTCTATTTGCCTACATGGAAAGAGCCAGCTTGCAAAATCAAGCTTTGCAGAGGGCCATAAATGAGTGCATACAATAAGGGAAGAGTCATTTCCAACCACGAAGTTCGAGGGAAGGCAAGGCAGCTTAAAGTGAAGGAAAAATAATTATTTGACACTGTGTGCTCATATTGAACCCAAAGACATGTTATAAAGACGTTGGTAAGTTTAAAGCTGAGTTGAACTCAAGAGCACACTTCCAGGCTGTCTAAGACCATTGCCGATATGGTCGTGGGTAGGAAAATCGACGAGTTGGACCATAGCTTATGGCTTTGGCAAGACACAGCGGTGAGATGAGCACTAAGTCTTCAGTTCATGAAGTTGCCATTGCTAACTTCTATCAAGAGGCACAGGCTGAACAAACATAGGATCAGCGTGTGGAGGGAAAGAAGGAAGTGTTGAAGCCCATCTTGAGGAGTGGAAGAAAGGAACGGAACAAATAGAAGGTGGTTCAAGGCAGGATGATGGCACTGGAGCAGTAACGGCAGTGCCAGTACCGGACAGGTTGCCACCAAGCAGTTCCTTGCCGCATGGCAACTTATTATACGGGCAGGACTCGTGAGGGTCGACACAAACAGCACTGAAAGAACATAGTCGGTGGGAAGCCCTAACTATGACCGTGTAATGGGTGATTATCGTCGACTGGTGACGATAACGGCCGAGAAAATCTGGGTGAGGAAATGGTACGGTTGAGAGGGAGGGGGAGATTATAGTTGAAATGTGTTCCGCAATATCGCCAAGAGAGCGGATGATTTCACGCAGGTTAGCAACGATATGATTCTTATACTTTGGGCAAGATCACGAAGAGTAATATATACGATGAAGCCTCAAGTAAGTTACTTCAAACCATATCCCTGAAGACACCTCAGACCCGCGCTTCAAGATGTGGTGTTTCGCATGGACCAAGCTATTACCAGTTGAAGGCGTACGCAGAAAGTGGCCAGTTGAGCCTCGAGGGTCCTGGTATTCGACATGTTCCTGGAGGAGTCTGAGGAGATCCTAGCTTGTGATTCCTAGGTAGAGATAAATCTGCATAAAACCTACACTGACATACTGCACTGGTGTAGTACCAGCCAGGGGATGGGACTGGAAACTAGATCACATCGGCAGGTTTGACGTGATCGTCACCGTAGTGGCGTTGATAAAGCGGATTATTGAACCATCTAGTGGATAGACAGTCATCAGGATGGAAGTGCTACAGGGGGTACAGGATTTCAGTTCATACCCAAGGTAGCGATGAGTCCTCTGAAGGCTATAAAACAACCATGTTGAGGGGCAAACACCCAGTCAACCCATGGCTGGAGGTTACCTTGCCGTGATTGACAAGTTTACCAGCACACCTGGCGAGTCAGCACGGCAAGGTTAGCAAGTTTGCCGGTGTTAGAGAGGTTCACGGCCTTTTAGGGCATTGTGGTTAGCCGCGGTTATTTCTTCCTCCTTTCCTCGCAGAAGTTGAAACAACCAGATGAAGAGAACACCTTGCTAGAAGGTACCAGTGTGATAATCGTCGATTGGGAAATTCTTCCGAGGCAAACTCACTTCCGACATTTCACCACCAGTGCGGTGCCTGGACCTGTCACCTAAGGATCCGACACAAATTTGCAAACTTCACCAAACCTTCCACCCATCTTCCATTTTGCCTTGCGACTTTATCTCCCAGTCACAATACGACATATCTCTTCATCGACAGGTGTATTATTTCGTCGTCTTGCAGTCGTCACAACTCTCAAGATAAGCAAAAGTCAAGCCAACGGTACATCCTGGTAAGTCGTCCTTCACTGAATCAAACCATCATCACATGTTCTGCTCGTCTCTCATTTCTGACATCATTACAGAGGCAATCCAGCCAGATCCTCACAATGGCTCCCGCCCAGACCGAAGACAAAGCCGGCCAGTTGGATGCCACCTCCAAGAAGGCCAGAGAAGAAGCTTTGTTGGTCAAAGTAGAGCAGTCGGTTCAGGGCTTCCACCTGGTGAACTCCGCCGTTGTCGATACGATCAAGGAGTACGTATCGGGCGACGTCAAAGACTTCAAGACTGTCATCGAGGTCCTTACCGCCTGGTCCCAGGCCAAGCTGCAGTACCGCAAGGACTACTTTCGATTCATGGACGCCACTGATGCGGACGAGGTTTCTGATGACGATGATATGTGCAAGCGCTTGGTGCTCAACCTGCAATCCGTCTACAAAGCACAGGTAGAGTTCGAGAAGGCTCGCGCTCTCCTGGACTCTTCCTCCCAGGTCGACAAGGACGAGCGTGATATAGCGAACAAGCGAATCACGATCACGGAGAAGGCATTTGCGGATGTTGACAAGTCGCTCGACATCTTCCGCGTTTTCAGCAACGTCTTCATGCTGTGATGTGGTGGATGTATTCGGTACATATGTCTGGGAAGAGATGGAAGGATAATACCACATTTGACCTGTGCTGTTCCCATTCCCTTTGATGTCTTGCAAAAAGTCTATGGGCAAGAGCGGCAAAGTTTTGTGACCAAGGTACCTACCTCCGTAAGGCACGTCGCATACCTAGAGAAAGAGGCTTACGATGTTTGCCTACCTTACCTTAAGTACCTTACCTGCCTTCCGTTATACAGATAGAGCGACATGAATAGGGTACCTTACTTATCACCACAGGGGCTACCAATGGCACCTACCTAATGGGTAGAGGTATTCAGCGTAAGGAGGTAGGGAACAAAAGCCCCCAGCTTCTCCTAACTTCATGTCCCGGTTTGCTACCTTGTGTCATTTCTTCTACTGATGATCAAGCTATGGTGTTTCCAAGATATGCAGCTCAAGACAACACAATCCAAGGAGGATCGACGTGAACTACAAGTCGACGGTTTGCACCAAATTACTGTTACCTAGTAGCTTGACCTTCTGCTCAGCAAGCCCGCACCGTCCCTAATATAAGGTACACAACTGCATATCTTGATGCCTAGGTATGCAAACTTCCATGACTTTAAGTATGGTATCTGCCCGACTGTGTATTCTACTGTCCTCCAAAAAGCCAGCGCCCTTGCTTACGCAGCGCGGCATAATATAAATATTTAAGTATGGTAGGTATCTGCTGCATAAGGTATTCTTAGAAGTTAGAATATATTCTCGGCCTTTTGGCTCGCTTTCCACAACTCTCCCGCACGCCACCCAAACAGTACCCCGAACGAGTAGTGATAGTGGACTTGTTCTGCAGTACTTCCAAGAAAGATCTCACATCCACACCATTTGCGAGTAAGTTGATATCGTGTCGTTTTCGAACTTACCCCTTCTAACCGCAATATCAATACGCAGACTCAACGTTTCCAGCATCATGAGCTCCACAGAGGCCGGAACCCTGGACAGAGAGTCTCCTCAGGTCGCCCAGGCTACTAATTCCAGTGCCCATTCATCCATCGAAGCCCAGGCTGACGCCTACCTGGCCGAATGGAAAAAAGTTTTCATCACTCACGAACAGCGATGCTCTACTGCCACCGAGATCATTGATAAGGCCACTTCTAGCGAGGCTCAAGACGCCATTCTCCTTGACCAAGCCTTGGCCGACTGGGATTGCTTCAACCACGCGCAAAACTTGGACAGCGGGATCATTGATGCGTTCAATCTCATCTACTCGGAAATTGCTAATAACCAGGTGATTCCTCCGATCGACTGGGCAGTCGTGCGACGTTTAAAGGAATGGACCCTCAATAAGCTAGCCGCGGAGGTGGCCTATGGCGAAGCCGTGGTCCGCCATGTGTCGTGCTCCCCCGTTTTGGAAAGCGAGCGTGAGAGACTTCAGGAACAGGTCTGCGATCTGGAGCTGATCGTTCAGAACAGACGTCAGGTGGCCAGGGAGATCGAGATTCAGGCCATCGAATTTGAGCTCAGTGCCATGGAGTACGCAGCCAATCCGAATCGCTAACAGGACCGAGTCTCTCAGCGCGTCCACAGCTTTGACAGACTCCTTGTTACTACCGCCAAAGGTTTTGCTCATAGATCGGCAGAAGCTGGGAGGATCATGACAAAGTCAATGTCAAATTGCGGTGGATGACGGATCATGGTAGACATGCAGAGGACGGATGGATTAGGAACTCACTTGGGCGCTGATGATCGTCTTCGGTACCTTAGGCAAGATCCAGCGTCGTGCAGCCATCAGGTCTCCGCAAACCAGACAGCGAGTCCAGTCAGCAGTGAGAATGGAACACTGCTACTTCTCTCACCATATGACCCTCTCGATGTACCTTGACTCCTGCCCGCCTCGGCATCCACGAGCCCTCCCCCAGCAGATGCCGAGTGTTTGAACTGTGAACTGCCATATGCAAATGATATCACCTTAAGGAGAGTATGCTGCCACACCAAAGTCTCAATAAATGGGTATCACAAGCTGTCTACAACAGAAACTTAACAGCAACACACCCCCAAGCAACAGCAACCCCAATCGTAACAGCACTCGACACAGACAGCAAGCTCATACCACTAACCCCGTGCCCGCTCGTACACCCGCCCGCAATCCTGCT